TAACAAAATCATTTACATGTTCTACATGTAAATGGAGATCAAAGTATCTCCACTGCCTAGCATTTGTATTTCTGATTATGCATCCACAGCTTCCATCCAGAATATATAGGACATATAGGATGACATGAGCTTGTACAATGTTATGCACGCAATGAGTAATTAAAATTTATATTACTGTTCCTTAAAAAAACACATTCATCCAGTTATCTCTTTTTAGTTCATTTTAATCTATTTGACTCTTTCCCCAATAAACACCTTATAAAGAAAAACTTGAGACAAATCAATTCCTTGTAAGTTTTTCCATGAAAAAAAGGCAAAATGATAACTGCATAAAAATCATAGTACAAAATATTCAAATATGAAAAAAACAGAAGATGCAATTAGCCACATTTTTAGCTATAGCCACATGTTAACATCTCTGCAGTTTTCTTGGCAAGTTTTTTCTTAAGTGGTTTGCCACTGCCTCCCTCCTAGGATGGGAGAAAGTGATTGGCCCAAGTTCACACAGCTGGCTTTGTGCCCAAGAAGGTACTAGAATTCACAATTTCCAGATTTCTAGCTTGATGCCTTAACCACTACACCAAACAGTCTCATTTAACAGTTTAGATAAAGAAATATCTCTGAATCAATGACCCAACAGATCAGGGGTTGTCTAGTCAATATTTGTGTTTATCACCTCAGCAATTTCACAGTATTTCATTTTTTACAGTATATGTACAATGATGTTGGATGAACATAATTGATGAATGAATTGTACTTTGACTTCATAGTGTTTTAGAAAATAATTCCTGATATACTGAATTGCATGCCTAGCGTTGATAGTTTCTTAAAAGTGAGGGAGCGCATTTGAACACATGCACATTGCACATTACTTTGGCATTCCACTGGCTTGCATATATTTCCACCTGCAATTCAAAATGCTGGTATTTATTATTTTTTGTAATTTTAAATGTGGGCTGGCCACCAACTTTCCTGGCTTCAAAACAGTCTTGTATCAACTCATAAAAGTCATGTATTAGATTTAATTGTAGTCTGACTGCTTCTGAAAGCTATTGGTTGGAAGACTGGTTGACTAGCTTGTGGAGTTGACTACCACTGTGAGAAAAAGATTGCTGAACTAGATGGGCCAGGGATCTAATCCAGCAAGGTACTATTTTTGTGTTTATGTTATTATGTACCATTAACATTTTATTGTTATGATTATAATACACTGAGAGTCTCTCCTATGAAGCAGGCAAAGTATTTAGTTATTTTAGATATTATTCTAGGGGGCACTTCAATGTTTCATTTAGAAATTTCAAGTATATTTCAAAATCTTTTATATTCATAGTTAGGACATCTAAACTTTTCTACTTTTATATGGAGAAGGGAAAACTGAAATCTAAGAGAAATGTTTAAATAATCCAGAGTATACAAGAAAGAACATATGTGTTCTGAGGACCGGGTGCTATAGACCAAATCTAAATTATTATCAAACTGTCAAAATTGATGAGAGGCCTATTTTTCCACGAAACTACTCAATGTCACACAAATCAAGATAAAGTTAGAATTTAGGAGTAGGTGGTAGGTGAGATGAAATGCTTATATACAGTTTATAACATCTCACAGCAACAACATGGAGTTTTGAAAATATGAACTTCCATTTGTCATAACAAAGCAGAGTGTATTTTAAATACATTAAACCATGATTGGTATCTTTTGTCTGAGAATGTAATTTAATCAGTTTGACTGAATATATAGAACAATATAGGAAGCTTCTGGTCATAAAAGCCATAAAATGAAGAAAATATGTCTGTAGGAAATTTTACTTTTAGGAGATAATGATTCAGAATCTGAGAAAATTCCTTTCCAGGTTAAATTTTAGTTCAAATGAGGCATGTTTTTCTACTTGTTATGTGTGCATTTCTCAGTTACAATCACAACCATGTGAAAAATGCAGTATATATTACAGACTTTCTTTTAGTTTCTGATTCATGATATGCCTTCCAGACTAAACAAACCCTGATAGGCATTTACTAGAACATCCACCTAGTCTAATATTTGCTGTAGAGAAATATAAGTCTCTTGCAAAAGATTAGTAGGAAACCTCTACATTGCAATTAACACATAACACATAAATGTAGGCCTCAAGTGCCCGTTATTTGTCTGAATACTATATAATACATATATTCCAATCTTGAAATATGGCATAGACACACCAATCACTTTATAGCAAGCATTTATCTCTATATATTTAAAATCACTTAGCAGATTTTAAATGCTTTGCATATTATGAGGATAAGTTATAACCAAGAATTTGGTCACTCTTTTCTTCCAAATCTATAATAGTCTTTTCAAAAGTGAAGTGATCATAAATTTGTATAAAGTCTTTCCGTATAATTATAAGCTTATTACTGTTTTGACAGATTTATTTAACTCCTTTCCTAATGGCTCTAAGTAGGAATTTGCCTATGTTATAGCATCTCCAAACAATCATTAAATGAATTATTGTAAGTCAAGGACTACCTGTACTTGGTATCATATGCAAATATGGCCATCTTATTGGTCATTAATATCTTTATTTATAATCATATTAAAGTAAAGTATTAGTAAAGTATTCTTGGAATACTTTACCTTGCATATCTTTCCACTGTGACAATTGTGCATTTCCCCTAATTTTTCACAGTATAAATCTACACTATATTCCAATTAAACTGGGAATGAGGAAGAGTTTCCACATACACTATAAAATGGATATACCATATTCAGATTACGTTAATTAAGTATTCTTCTTTTAACATTAATATGTAACTTTTCAATGATATACCACTTTCTAGATCTTGCAATCTTTGCTTTTGAGGATTTTGAGAAAACCAATTAATGTGAGAGACAGAAAGTTTATTTCTATACTCTGCCCTTGAAAAGCTTATATACTTGCTGGATAACACTGTCCTGGCAAATTTAGATAAACAGAGTTGTAAAACATCGCCATCGAAATACTAAATTGACTATCCCATGGGATCTTTTACTAGCATTTTAAAAAAATAGTTAAGATTCTGCAAGTCAACTCTATTTATTCATTTTGTGAATTTGGTAAATCTTCAACTTTCTAATAATTTATCAGCCAGTAAAAGATAATATTTTATACTGCCTGCTTTTCCTTCTTCCATAGTCATCAAATAAGAACATAATGCAGTTATGGTTAAGGGGGCATCGCTATTAATTCAATCTTCCACCAAATTACTATGTAGGAAATGGGGGAACAGAAAGCAAGAAAAGCTCATGACAAGGAATATAAGAATAAATAAATAAATATAATTTAGAATAGATTCTGCATATCTTAATATGGTACATCAAATTGCAACTCTAATAGTATAATGTTCTATTATAATCTTGTGCGTCATTTGTCTTGTCCACTATATATCCATCTATAAAAGGAATAGCTATTACAGTCAGATCAGAGAAGGCTTGCAGGACATACAATAGAATCTATTATGATTCAGAAATTGTAGTCTACAAAGTGGTACTCATGGTTCTCAGCAATAACTGTTGTTGTGGTCCTCAGGAATATTGTTGTTATCAACCTTAATCTATCCACTTTAGGCCTCTTTGTTAAAGTATATCGATGATAGTCTCCCACAATGTTGACTTTGGGCTGATAGCTAGATGTTTTCAACTTGTCAGTTTAGGGACAAAGGACAGTGATTAATCCTAAATCACCACGACTGCTTTTGTGTACTGTACAAGGAGAACTACAACCTGGATCTCCCTTATTCTAACCAGCACCTTAATCACTACACCACACTGGCTTTCAATTGTGTTCTATGAATGTGCAAACAAAACAAAGCAACAAGAAAGGCACAGTAAAAAAAAACCTTAGATATCGCTAAATAGATTTATTTAGATTCCAGAGAACCAAAAGGGCTTTTGTTGACAGTGGATCCAAATGTTTTTGTGTTCACTAGGAAAACCAGGAAATTGACACAAAAAGACACCCAAAACAAATAAAACTATAAAATATAACGTGCTCCTATCATAGACCAGAAATATCACACCAAAAAGTGATTATACTGCAAATGTTCTCCCAAGGAAACTGTATGTTGGAAAACATCACCAGCTGAGAATTGTATACTGGTATGTAATGCTCTTTTTTCAAGTTCAGAGAAGTGCAAAAGATCCTTATCATCCTTGGTCCCGTATACTATAGAATAACCACATAGGTCTGGAGGTTCTCATAAAACACAGAAAACCAGACTTATTTACAGACAAAGGTCAAAAGCTGTTCTGCTGCAGCTGTTCTTAATGACCAAAAACTACCAATTAAAAAAAAAAGTTCAATTCAACAAATGGAAACATAGTAAGTCCATTAAAATGTCACTAATTTCTGACACAACCCATTCAATGAATGAAAACCCTTTTCCTGCCTTATTATTTCCAATTTCTTTCACATAATATCTGGCATCATACCAAAAAAATTCATTGAAAAAAACATTGAATATGATCATATAGCATTGTTGAATTAATTTAGAAGCATTTAAAATGGTCTGTGAAAATGTCAATTTTAACTCCTAATGTCCCCACAGTGATCCAGCCATACAATTTTCTTGCAAAAATATGAAATGTTTTGCCATTGCCTTCTACCATAATTTTTTGTTTAAAACATTCGCAGTCAAGTCTACAAACTTGATCCAACTCTAGCTATCATTTTCAAGATCAGCAGAGGATGCTATAACCTGCTGTGATTAATCATAGTATCATACAATAAAGTTGAAAGTTATATTATAAACTCTAAAATCCCCAACTAATTTGATTAGAACATATGGGAATGTAAGGATAAAATGAAAAAAAAAATCTCATTTAGTTGTAGTCATTAGGTACATACACTGTTCCCTGTTTATTTTTGCATCATTAAAACAATATTACATAGCTCTGAAATTCATTTTAACTAAGGTAAATATTTCATCACGTATTTAGGACATTATAGTAAGAGAATTAGGTATTACAAAGGATCAGTCACTTACTTTGGAAAGATGGCAGTCATCAAAGCAGAAGCATACCCAGGCTTGCAAACACCCTCTGACATATTACTGTATTTTGATACTAGCTCTGGAGGCCTGTAAAAAATAATATGTGTTATGATCATCCTAAGAAAAAAATAAAAAGTAGATCAATTAAATACTTTTATCATTAGTTTTTCTGAACAGCAGCAACAGGAACAGAAAAGTCTTATGAAATTAAAATAGGATGTCATCAAATTCTACCATGTGGCTTCAGGTATGTAGCATATTTCCTGGCTATTATTTGGACTCCAAAAATATAAAGAAAAATATTACCAAACTTTTTGTTGTGGTATTAGTATATAATACTATATTACTATGTAATTTTATTACTTTGTAAACCAGTAAACTAGTACTGAGTTTCATTTACTACTATGGAAATGTTATAATGCCATGATGGTGAACCTATGGCACGTGTGCCGGAAGTGGCATGCAGAGCCATCTCTGCATGTACGCAAGCCATCACCCCAGCTCAGTTCCACTGCGCATGCGGGCACGCCTCCTGCCAGCCAGCTGATTTTTGGGTATCTGCCACGCATGTGCTAGGGGGCGGGGCACATGCGGGAGACATGCTCACGTGCACAAGGGGCAGGGGACCGCAGGGGGTCCCACACACATGCGCAGGGGGTGGGTCACGTGGGGGGATCCTGCACACATGGAGGTGGGGGTCACACAGGGGATTGCGCATGCAGTGCATGGGTGCTGGCTCACCATGCACATGCGCATTTTTGGCACGCGACAACAAAAAGGTTAGCCATCACTGTTATAATGCAATACTAGTACCGAACAGTAAATCTAACCAAGTTACTATAAATTTCTTCCACCTACTGTGAAAATGGAGAGGATGTATACCATAACTCCAACATGATTTCCTTTTATCATTTTCTAAGAGCTCAGTCTCTTGCACAATCAGTGGATATACAAGAAGTCCTCGACTTACAACCACAATGGAGTCTTGTTGCTAAGTGAGACATTTGTTAAGTGAATTTTGCCCCATTTTATGACCTTTCTTGCCACAGTTGTTATGTGAACCACTGCAATTGTCAAGTTAGTACTATAATTGTTAAAGGCATCTGCCTTCCTCATTGACTTTACTTGTCAGAAGATCGCAAAAGGTGATCACATGACCCCAGGACACTGCAACCGTTATAAATATGAATTAATTGCTAACTGTCCAAATTTTGATCATGTGACCATGGGAATACTGCAACGGTCATAAGTATGAAAAATGGCCATAAGTCACTTTTTTCAGTATCATAACTTTGAATGGTCACTAAATGAACTGTTGTAAGTCAAGGCTACCTGTATAAAAGACTGAATTTATATTCCAAATGAGTACAGTTACTATGGTGAAAACACAGCTATTTTTGTCAGCTTCTTTTTCTATCTGTAGTCTTCATATAGTCAAAGACCTATGAATAATGAATGTATAACTTTCCCCAAATTTCAGTGCAAAATTTGAGTATAAACAGGAATAACAGTATTATTCATATAGAGGATGTTTAGAGAAAATCTGCTTCTTCACAGTATTCATGCATGACAAAGGAACCCAAAGTTTGAAGCCTGCATTTCCCAAACTGATGCTCTCCAGATATTCCAGCACATCTAAACCACATTTGGACAATGGAAATGCAAGTAATGAGAAAGTCTGAAGTTAAAATTTAAATTATACTTAAGATAGTATTCTTCTTTAAGATTTTTGGCTTTGGATACTTCCTTTAGCTATTATACGGTGTCCTGAGGATACCATTTAGACTTAAACAAATGCATTTAAGATATTGGCTAAAAAATATCTTTGTGTTTTCTTTCATTCATGGCAGTCTGATGGTCCTATTTGAGGAACAAATAACCGGTCTGGCAAATAAAGACACAATTGTATCTCAAGCTAAGTAGAACTAGACTTATTGTTTTCCTAAGTATAATAAATAGTTCATATTTTGAGATGTCACAAGCAAAAATAAGTTTGCAGCCAACCACAACTACCAGTGCAGTTACTCAAGAGTTACCACATACCCCCATTTTGGCCAGTCTTGGCCAGTCTTTTATATTTCTCATTCCATGCAGTTTTATCCATTTGGTATATTTATGTGTCTGGATCTATTCATTACCAAACATGGTAATGATAGGGCCAACTGGGACATTTATAGCCACCTTAGTGTATAGTTACAAACTTGGATCAACAACATGCTTCAGAAGAAAAAGCAAAGACTCTTCCTCTTTTGTAATTGAAGGATTACAGGTAGTCCTCGAGATACGACTATAATGGAGCCTGCCCATTACATGTTGCATGTTGCATCAGTCGTTAGGTGAAACATCTCACCTAATGACCCTCCCATCCCTGCTCTCCCCGATGAATTATAAAATAACTGTGCGGGTTGTTAAATGGAGAATGGGGTGCCTCCTGGGTGGGAGAAGCTGTTGGAGACTTAATGCAGGCCCAGGCTCGGGGGACAAACTGCTTCGTTTTGCTGCCTTGCAGTGGAGACCTCTCTAAGGAAGAAAATGAAGCAGTTTATCTGGTGGCCGCCATTTTGGCCTCACCCATTTGTGGGCTGGGACAAAATGGTGGCTGCATTTGGGTCACTGCTGCATGGCCCAGAGACAAACTGCATTGTTTTGCTGCAGAAGCTTTCTGTGGTGTTCAGAAGTTTCTGTAGCATTGTACAAACCTTCCTAAGGCAGTAAAATGAAGCCGTTTCTTTGGCAGCAACCATTTTGTCCCTGCCCACAAGCGGGTGGACAAAATGGGAGCCACATTTAGATTGCCAACACTTAGCTCAGAGACACATGGCCTACCCTGTTTCCCCAATATGAGGTCCAGAGAGTTTCAGAAGGAAGTGTGGGGCATGATGGATGTGTGGGGAGCAGGCCCAAACGCTGCAGGGTCCTGGTGTACTGGGGTGTGTGGAGAGAGGCAGGAGGGCACTGCCGCAACCCTGTGGTGGGTTGTAAGGATGAATGACTGCCAGTATGTGGCAGCCATCATAACTTTGAAGTCATATATAGCTTTTTGGGGGGGAATTTTAGACTCCCCCCCAAAAAAGCTATATACAACTTCAAAATTATGATGGCTGCTGCATAATTTCAAATGTTTGTTAAATGGCATGTCGTACCTTGAGGATTATCTGTATGCAATTAATAAAATTATTACACAAATCCTATCACTTGTAAGATCTGACCATAAAACCCAAAAACATTGGTAGAACTGCTTATATCATAATTTAGGGGAGGCATAGAATTCTTCAGAATATTTCTGCTTTTTGTGGTTTTTTATTTTCATTTTGCCTAAAAATTGAAGCTTCTGACCACAGAAAAAAATTGCCAAAGGAGGTGAATGTACTACAGAATGATTAGAAAGCTTAATTTTCAAACCATAACAATTTTTAAATTTTTGCTTCATAAAATAAGTTTTTATAAATGCTATGTTAAAGTACAGTGATATAACATTTTTTACCAGTACAGGAAATCTGCTGCTGTTACATCCAGCCTCTACTTAAAAACTTTTTGTGAAAACTAAAGTTCATCATTTAAAAGCAGGTTTTATTATTACTATAAAATTCATATTGTCATACATTTTTTAAAAAAAGTTTAGAACAAAAAACCTTATTTTGCATATACTTGAGCCTACTGGATTTGTTCTTCAATATAAAGAATAACTAATAACACTCTTACAATATGTCCACCCTGTTTCCAAATTTAAAATGATAAACAAAATCCCTTAAATCTCATGAAATAGATTTTTATGTTCTTATATCATGGGATTTTAATTTAATTGTTTATTAAAGAGTTTTGACAGGAAAAATGCCCAGAGTAATATGTGAACTCATTCAGGGGACTCCATCATGAGCTATGAATACTTCAATGTGCTTCAGAATTCTCATGAGTGCAGCTCCTACTACTTATTGAAACAAATATACCGTTTTTAGGTTTTTGCCTGAAAAAAGACATAGCTGCTTTAAGAGTTATACTAACCTGTAATTAATTCTCATTCATCTAACTTTCATAAAACTTTGAATAAATTCTAACTGTCCCTTATTATATCATTGTGGGGAAGATCATGTTTCCTTATTATTTACAGTTGTTATAGTGGGATATTTTTGCCACCCCAAAAAATAAGAGCAGTATCTTGTTCCTAACTTTCTGCCCTGCCCTCTGAAAGTTAATTTGCTGTTGTGGGAATCTACTGTAGCAGTTGTATTAACATGTTGTGTGAACAAGTTATTTTTTTAATCCAAATAATATGGCTGACTGGATATAAACATGTCAACTGAACATAGCAATCGCATTCTATTAATTCAGATTTATGATTTAGCATGTTATATGAACTCAGCCAGTATTTATCTGCACCAGTGGAAATATCATAGTAGAAGAATATGCAATTATGAATAAATGTATCCAAATATTTCTATTGTTCATTAATTTTTCGTTGATATAACTTGGTTCTACTGTCAATTTATGGTCTCTATACATTTTCTTCCTTTTTAAAAATTGAACGCTAGTTATCTCCTAGCTCCCTAAAACAGATAAAGCACATGATATGTCACATACCATTTTGAATACTACTACATCTCAGACAAGATATTTCTCCACTGGGATGATATTACCTTTGTGTAATTTAGGAATTCCAAATAATGTTGTCTAATAGGCCATTTTGAGTTACTCAAGGTTTTATATGTCTCATCTCCATTCTTCACTGGCTTCCACAAAACAAACCTGTTCTATGCCTGGATTAGGATTATTACATTCAAACATTTTGGGGAATAGAATTTTGGGCAGTAGCTTTAAAGATATTTCATTATTCCAGCACATTTTCCAATTCTAGCTCATTTAGGTGATACCATATTGAAAGAGATCTGCCCTCCCACAACTGTACTTCAACAATGAAACAAGACTTAACAAAAACACAAGCCATCACTGATACTAATTCATATTAATTGTTATTCTCAATTCAGTGGATTTTTAAAATTCCTTACCACTACCAGTCATATTGCCATGCTGGCACAAAAGTCACCCAACAGTATGTTTTATTAATCTTTTCCACTTTCTGTCAAACATAA